TTCACTCCACGACAGCCAAAGAGTCATTGAAGCCACGCCTGGAATTAGGCGCTCAAACCCATGATGCTTTGCGGCCTGCTTGTCCGACCTCCTCTGGTTTGTTGGGTTTGTTGGACTTGTTGGGTTTGTTGGACTTGTTGGGTTTGTTGGACTTGTTGGTTTTGTTTAACTTGTTGGATTTGTTTGGTTTGTTGGCTTTGTTGGTTTTGTTTGACTTGTTTGACTTGTTTGGTTTGTTGGGTTTGTTGGACTTGTTGGGTTTGTTGGGCTTGTAGGTTTTGTTTGACTTGTTGGATTTGTTTGGCTTGTTGGACTTGTTGGTTTTGTTTGACTTGTTTGGTTTGTTGAGTTTGTTCGACTTGTTGGGTTTGTTGGACCTGTTGGGTTTGTTGGACTTGTTGGTTTTGTTTGACTTGTTGGTTTTGTTCTGTTTGACTTGTTGGGTTTGTTGGACCTGTTGGGTTTGTTGGACTTGTTCGTTTTGTTTGACTTGTTGGATTTGTTTGGCTTGTTGGACTTGTTGGTTCTGTTTGACTTGTTGGATTTGTTTGGCTTGTTGGTTTTGTTTGACTTGTTTGATTTGTTGGGTTTGTTGGACTTGTTGGGTTTGTTGGACTTGTTGGTTTTGTTTGACTTGTTTGGTTTGTTGGGTTTGTTGGACTTGTTGAACTTGTTGGGTCTGTTGGACTTGTTGGGTTTGTTTGACTGGTTTGGCTTGTTGGATTTGTTTGACGTGTTGGCTTGTTGGACGTGTTGGGTTTGTTGGTTTTGTTGGCTTGTTGGGTTTGTTTGACTTGTTGGACTTGTTTGGCTTGTTGGACTTGTTGGGTTTGTTTGACTTGTTTGGCTTGCTGGATTTGTTTGACGTGTGCCATTGTTGGTTTTTTGGCTTGTTGGACGTGTTGGGTTTGTTGGCTTGTTGGGTTTGTTGGATTCGTTTGACTTGTTGGTTTTGTTTGACTTGTTGGTTTTGTTTGGCTTGTTGGGGATTGTTGGTTTTATTTGCTTGTTTGACTTGTTGGATTTGTTTGACATGTTGGGCTTGTTGGCTTGTTGGGTTTGTTTGCTTGTTTAACTTGTTGGATTTGTTTGACATGTTGGGTTTGTTGGCTTGTTGGGTTTGTTGGTTTTGTTTGGCTTGTTGGTTTTGTTTCTTGTTGGGTTTGTTTGGCTTGTTGGATTTGTTTGGCTTGTTGGTTTTGTTTGGTTTGTTGGATTTGTTTTGCTTGTTGGACTTATTGGTTTTTGTTGGCTTGTTGGATGTGTTGGATTTGTTTGACGTGTTGGAGTTGGTTTTGTTTGTTCCAACTCCAGAAATGCTCTTTCATTGAGAGGAACAAATTCCCCTGACAAAAAAACCCGTATTTAGAAACCAGTATGACAACCAAACATCCATAACCTTCAGCGCATGCGCAGTTCAATACCCATAAGGAATGAATCACGGCACTTCCGTTGGGCTTGTTTGCCCAACAAAACTCCCAACAGAAATACGCCACCCCTAAAACGCGACGCGTATATTTTATATATAGTTGTTCGAGGCTATAGCGTGTTTAAATAAAGTTTTATATACACATACATACATCGTATATCAAGCGTATAACTTTAATGTAAAGCTTGGTGCGAAACTGAAATTTAAATTCATGCAGTAAATTAACCCGAAAATATACAACGTACCTCGACGTCAGTCAGACATTGAAGCATGTATAAAGCACAATCAATTTGACCACAGTTACTTCCAATGTATCCTTCCTTGCACTTACATTCACCGCATTGACACTCTCCTTGGGACGCTAGAAATGATACAGATGTTTTAGTCAATACCTTCTTCACAGATTTTATAATCAAATCCAATTTGATTATACTTGAAGAAATAAACAAAAAAACCCACAAAAATCATTTAAAAAATTCTATGCCGTTGTAGAGCAAGAGTTTTCATCAGCTATGCATGCCGGCTAAAAGGCTTAGAACGAGACTTCCAAATTTGAAGTTTCCAACTCAATTGCCTCGTTTTCACGTGGTTACTTGCAGAGTTTCCTTCACAATAGGGTTAACAGGTGTAACAAGTTCTATACCAATTTCCCGTGTTTCAAGAAAAGAGTTTATAATTTTTTGCTAAATTAACTATGATTATATACAGCTCAGCTAATTTACCTTTTATATATTACAGTACATGTATTTTAAATGGTCTTGAAAACATTATGAGGAGAACTCTTTATTATAAGCCTTTTGGTTTCTTGAGATCACCGCGCCACCACCTGCATTTGCACCGAATTTATTTCAATCTTGTATCTTGTATATTTGACAAATTTGCAAATTGTTATTATTTTGTGGCAAACATTTTAATAAAAAAGAGATAGGCATGTGATTATGCTCAAGATCAAAGCGAAACATATTCGTGCACAGAACATGATTATATAACCTTCATGTGCGCCTGCTGTAACAGGAATTCAAAACGAGGCCATTGGACCAAACGTGTGACAAACAATAAAGTCTATTAGTTAACATGCACAACTCAACGAAAACGAACGAATGTTCAGTTATGTTAATAAGGATAGCTTGTTTTATATGTCAAGGATACAATTATAAACATGCATATATCAAAACATATATAGTCATTGTTTAGCAAATCAAATGGCTATAAATTCAATCAAAACTACCGAAGTTTTATATAGTCTTTGGGATGTGTTATTTGGTTTTAGGCATACACGTATATACTTTTTGACCTGATTCTCTGCATGAATATAGTGTCTTAGTGAATAGCGACGGAACAGTTGCACTTTTCATCCTTGTCTTTATGGAAATATTAAATGCAATAATATTAAATAATGCCCTGATGCCTTTCAACCGTAGTCACGATGGACGGTTACATGAGACTGCAACTGCTCCGCAATAGTTTTATCAGTTGTACTTAATCTTTTATTCGCCGTTTACTTGTGTGTACTGGTGTATATTGAGATTATTGAATAATTGTTAGAGGAAGAAAGTTATCTCAGCTTAAATATAACGAAGTAAACCATGCATTAATTGTTATATAATAACCGCTAATCTGTTACTTCAGCGTTTCTATAAATTATTATTCATTGCAATAGTGCCCAAGCGAACATCCCAACTCCACGTATTGAGGAAGTTTTGTTTCCTAACTTTGTGAGCCGGTTGTGAGTTTAATGGCCCGGACTTTTTTAACGAATTACAGCAATGCCTGCCTGTCAACGTGAACATTTGTTTTGGAATTTATCATGGGCAAGTGTCCTTTCTAAAATATTGAATATTTGACAATGGTCAATGGTTTCGAACAACTTATAATTGTATTGTCCTTGCGAGTATAAGTCCGTTCGCTGTTTAACACCAGTCGCAAATTCATGACGTGCTTCAGCTGTCTCAACCAATGAGAATTAGCCAATTTGTTATGTGGAACGGTATGTGATTATAATATTCGTTCTATATCAGACGATAATTCATGATGTGCTGTCTCTACCAATGAGCAGGCCAGTGTCTATGCATTTCGACGAATAGATCGTTCGTTTAATGAGGCTATACGTTCGTTTTCGTTAAGTTGTGCATGTTAACTATTGAATACATATACGCCTCAAATATCCCACCTAGCCAGAAGCTATTAGGTAAAACGACCCATATCATGGGGAAGCTTAGCTACAATAACGCCACATAAATAATATGTATTTATGCCTTCCGTCTCAACGAACGATCTTAAACTATGTATTATACATGAAGAGATTACTTCCCACATACGCATTATCGGCTTGGGTGTTGCATCTCCTGAGCTCCGTTTACTGGGCGGTGTACTAAATAGAACACTGTAAAAAATTCATCTCGTTGTTGGGTTAATCTGGCTGGGGGGTAAAGATTCCCCCAGCCGCATTATTTTAACTTTCGAAATATAATACATAAGATATGTATCTACATTAAAATGTTCTGAAACCGTTTTGCCCAGTAAAGGTGTGGGCAAGATTACGCCATAACATACAAAGCTAGAATTAAAACTACAATGCATATATTATACTATGGATGCAGACATGGTGAGGAGGTGAGTTATCAAGTTTTTAATAGTCTTCTCTAGGTGATGTTCCTTCACTAGGTGATGTTCCTTCAATAGGTGATGTTATTTACCGGGTGGGAGGGCCGTACTGGAAAATATTTTCCCGAGACCGAAGGTCGAGGGCGGCTTCTGAAGCCGAGGGAAAATATGTTTCCAGTACGGCCCGACCTAGACGGTAAATAATGTATTTATTTTTTCATTTGATGGTTCATGGTTATAATGAAATTCCGATATAAAATTCCAGTTGCGAAGTATATTTGAGATCAGTTGCGTTTGTTACTTTAGTGTAAGCATGGCTGAGAAACTGCTATAAAACGACGCGATAAAAGCTGGATAAAAAGCTTTCAGTTTCATTGCAATAAATGCTTTTCTACTCAACAAGACAACAGTAAACTAAGCAAAATTGTTTATTTTCCGGATCGTTTTACAGCATGGACATGCTTGAAAAATGCTTTTTGACAGACAACCACAAATTTTAGTTGCCGAAAAACAATTTATAAATGTTTATTACAAAATTTATAAAAACAATTTTGAGGTATTTTTTTAAATTTTATGTTTAAGGACAAGTTGTACGTTGTAGTATTTATATTTATACGTATATTTTCGAAGAATAGCTGAATATATGTCGAGCATTTGAACCAAAACATGGAGCACTGCAGGCCAGTGTTTTTTCGATGTTTATATTTGCTTTGTCGCATTTTGGTGGGAAAAAAGTACATTTCGCGCCTGGCACCAGGGCCATACACAGCCCGGGCGGGAAGGGGCGAGGGGGGCAACTGTCCCCCCAGAGAAAACTATATTAACGATTTTTAGAATGACATTATTAATTATTCTTTGGG